TTTTTTTTTTCAACGTTTATTTATTTTTGGGACAGAGAGAGACAGAGCATGAACGGGAGAGGGTCAGAGAGACTCAGAATCAGAAACAGGCTCCAGGCTCTGAGCCATCAGCCCAGAGCCTGACGCGGGGCTCGAACTCCCGGACCGCGAGATCCTGACCTGGCTGAAGTCGGACGCTTAACCGACTGCGCCACTCAGGCACCCCAATTCTCTCTTATTTAATTCCCTGAAACACCCAGGGGCAGTAAATATTATTACTACTGTCATTTCATATATGTGGGGATTAAGAACTAGCAAAGTAACTTACCCAAAGTTGCTCGGCTAGTAAAATGTGGAGCAAGGATTGATGTCAGTTCTGTGCAACGTGCAAAGGCAGCGATCTTAATTACAACATTTCATGGCCTCTTATTGGATAAGTTGCTATGTCTAAGCGTTTTTCTTATTTGCACAGTAGAACCATATTTTTCTTTTTTTATAAGATATACCTTCTATTTAAGCAATAGTCAGCTGCAGCACCTGGGTGTCTCAGTCCGTTAAGCATCTGACTTGGGCTCAGGTCATGATTTAGCTGTACCTGAGTTTGAGCCCCGTGTCAGGCCTGGAACCTGCTTGGGATTCTGTGACTGTCTCTCTCTCTCTGCTCTTTCTCCCACTCATGCTCTGTCTCTGTCTCAAAAATAAATAAGCATTTAGTAATAGTCAGCTGCATGCTTTTTCCCCTGGTTTTTGTTATTGTTTTATTTTTTGAAGTAGACATGTAAACTATCTAATCATATTTTTTCTCTTTCAACCAAGGCTAAGGTTGTCTATAAATATAGAAGAATGTGAAGGAAAAGAATTCAAATGGTGACCCTACTTCTATGATGGCATTAGCACACTGCCTAACCAGCAAATATTCCCTGAAAACTCTGCGAGATGTATACTACCATTCTATGGGACCTTGTTCTAAGGATTTGGAGGCAGGCTTCCAGATGCTGGAAATAATGTATTCAACTGGTAGCTTAATTCTTGAAAATGGAGTTACATGCTTAACTCAAGGAGTTACAGTGTAGTCCATCTTGTGGTTGGTTTTATTTAAAAATGTATTCATTTGATTGAGATATTTGAAGGAATAAGATAGTATCCACCATATGAGTAAGACCTCTGTTGAAGGCAGCCATTGTGATTATGGTAAAGAAGAAAAAGAAATAGGAGTGTGAGGGATGGCAACAAGGAGAAGAAAAGAAAGGGGGATAACAAGGAGAAGAAGAAAGACAGGAAACTATTAAAGGCATAGTAAATAAAGGAGAAATATTTTATTTACCTTTAAAAACATTTGCTTTTTTTTTTAAAGCAAGGAATCCTTTTCTGTAAAATGTATTATATAGTTTTTTTTCTACAACTATATCTTCTGCAAAAAAATTAAAAATCCTGCAGTTACATTAAGGAAAAAAAAAAAAAAACTTTAGGTAAGCTCTGTCTCTCAAAAATGTGAGGGTACTAATACTACTCTATGAGTTTTACAGAGTATTGAGCGGAAGAATGTTTAGGAACATAACTTCATGCAGATTGTTGAGGCATAACTTGCTATTGTCCTGAAAATGTAAAACCACTCTCTTTTTAAATTTATTTTTGTTAATGAACACATATTTAATATGGTAGCACATTCTATATACTTCAGCACTTATGTTGCCCTTAAAATTTTTTTTCAAGTAGTTAATCAGTGAGGCTCTAGGCATATTTTTTCTAGAACATTGAACATTAACACAACGAATGACAGATGTGCCTTCATTAGAAGAAAAAAACCAAATTGAATGGATAACACAAAAATCACAGTCTCATGCTCTGACTTGGAAAAGCAGGTGAGTCATGTTATTGCAAGTAACACAGTATTAATCTGGACATTATAATTACAAGGAAAACGTGACTTTTTATAGGTAATCTAATCCTACAGCTGTATGATCTGATTTTATCAAGATGTGGTATTTCTAACAGATCTAATTTAATGTATAATCCTTAAAATTTTAGATATGAATCATTTTTAGGCAGATTTTCATTGTTTACAGTTAAAGCTTATATGTGTTTATAGCTATAAGATATAGACCTTTAGATATTTTATAACTTTACATCTAAATTTCAAAAAGTCCAATTATCTACCTCTCATTAGCTGGATCTTTAGGAAAAGAAATTTCTGAGTGTATACTTGCTCTAAGCAGTTAGTAACACTCTGACCTATATTTTGAGGCTGTCATTTATGCAGGATATGGATAAAAATAGAACTCTCAAAAAATGTATGATATATAAAAATATTGAGTGAAATATGCACATTAGCATAACCATTTGAGTTTGGGAAGAAGACTCTGATTCAATTTAAACTTGTGAATGTTCTTCAGTCTATTTCTTTCTATCTTTTATTTTTTAGTATATCTTCCAGTCTATTTTTAATTGTGTCTCCCCTAAGTAGTAGCCACAGGGTATGCACCAAACGCATAACTTAACAACTGTTCCAACATACAATGATTCCTCAAAACAGTACATTATCTTCTTCATTGAGGCACTTTAGTTGAACAAAGGATTTCAAAATAAAACAATAAAAATAATGTTTTGATGTCAGCTAAATAAAAACATTAAATAAATGAGAAGTTGACTAGAAAAATAGGTGATTTTTTTCATCTATTGATTCTCAAGATAAAAAGGGAAATTATAGAACTGTAATTTTTCATCTTTATGGTTCTCAGGAATATGTGTCCACTGTGTTATTTTTCTTGACAGAGATTCTCAAATATATAGGTGGCATAAATATTTTCTTTATGTCCATGTGAATACGTCCATGTGAATCTTGAAAAACATTTAAGACTTCTGAATTAGCAATCTCATCTTATTTTAAATGAATTTAAAAAGTAAAAAAATAAAAAGTGTAGATTAAAAATAGTTTTGTATATAGAATTATTGAATCATTATGTTGAAATTAACATAACACTATGTTAATTATCATCAAATAAAATTAGCTTCATAAATTTAATGTTTAATAATAATACTCCCAAACACAAGATTATTTGAATATGAAAAAATCAACAAATACTTATTAAACTCAAAGAATGGAATAATTATTTTGCTGCCATGTATCTAACATAATTTATATAGTCAGGCCGAAGGTATATTTTAGAACTCAAGCCATATATAACATCTGATAGGAATCCTTCCCTGACAACCCACCCCTTAAATTTGGGTTATTTATACCTATATTATATAATTTTAAAAATCCTGTTTTGCATCTGCTAGAGCCATCAACATACAGTTTAGTAAGTATCTGTTTATTTATTCATGTTTCCTTTTAGATTATCAGCTATCTGGACTATATCTTTTACTTCTCTATCTCCATAGCTTACTTAGCACTCTGCCTAGTATATTGCCAATGTTTAATTAAAGTTTGTGAATATTTATTATTCACCTTTGTATCTAGTTCCTGGCACATAGTAGACACTCAATAAATATTTGTGGACTGGAGGAATAAATGAATGAATGCCATCTGCTTTTAGAATCACTGTGAAGACACATTTCTCAATTAACACATGCCTCATAAATAGTGAAATTAGAAAAAAACTTCCATAAAAATGTTTAAAGTTTATGCAAAATGGCAAAAATTTGCTTCTGTTTTTCAGAAAAGTCAGTGAAGATAATGTTGAAACCCTCTTATTCCCTTGCTGCACTTCCTGTGTGTGCTTCTGCACTGAATGTATGGTCTTGTGCTTTTATTCACTGATTCATTATTCATTTAACAAATAATATTGAGGATCAGTATGAGCAAGGCACTCCTGTAGGCACGTGGGTAGGTACAGAAATATCCCTGTTCTCATTATCTTTTATATTAGTGGGGAAAACAGACAATGAATAAGATTAATGTATACCATATATACTGTTTAGATAGAGATAAATGCTAAAGAACAATAAAACAGGCAAGAGGACTCAGAAGTGGATGTGACCATGTGTGTGGTGGTAGAATTACTATTTTAGATTTAACAGCCAGAGATGGCTTCACTGAAAGGACATTTGAGCAAAGTCTGAAAGAAGGTAAGAAGGGACTCCTGCAGGTAACCAGGAATTGATTCACAAAGGGAAATGCAACAACAAATAGTGGTGGTATGGGAGGGAAATTATGAAATGCCGGGCCTGTAGACCTTTCTGACAACTTTTACTCTCAATGTGATAAAATGCCATTGAAGAATTTTGAGAACAGTAATATGATCTGATTTAGATTTTACCATAATAACTCTGCATACTGTGCTGATAATATACTGTGAGGGACAAAGGTAAATGTAGAGATCGGTTAGAATGTTATCACAATAAGCCCAGTGAAAGATGATGGTGGCTTAAAATAAGTAAGTCATAGCTGCTGAAGCTTGGAGAAGTGGTTGAATACTTTATATGACGTGAAGATAATGTCAACAGGATTTTCTAACATACTAGAAAAGAAAAAGAGAAACTAAGAATTCCCAAAGGTCTTTAACAAAAAAAACCAGAAGAATAGGGTGGACATTGAGACAGGAAAGACCACATACAGAACAGGGGTTGGAGGAACTCAGAAGGCTTTGCATATGTTAAGCTTGAGATGTTTCTCTATAGAAGCAAGAACACAGTATGGGCAGGTAGACGTGAATTAGGAGTTCAAGGGTAAAGATAGAAATTTGGATGTCATCAGCATTCAGATGGTACCTCAACCCTAAGCCTTAATGAGCTCACCAAAACAGTGAGTATAGATAGAAAACAGGAGTTTTAAGTCTTGAGTCTTGGAACACTCTAGATTTAGAGGTCATGGAGGTCAGTTGGATCCAGCAAAGGAGACTGAGAATATATAGGGAGAGAGTTTGGAATGAAAACAGGGGACTGTGTTGTCCCAGAAGCCAAATGGAGGAAATGTCTAAAATTATGGTAATTTATGATTTAGCCATTTTTGACTCTTTTCTTTCCTCACCATCCACATCTAATCTTCAGTATTCTTTTGGTTCTTTCCACAAAGTGTATCCTGTAAGTACGTGTTTCATCAGAGAAGCAGAAGTAATACGAGTCATATGGACTAAGTCATATGGATTTATTATAGGGATTAGATCTTATTCAATTATGTGAGCTGAGAAGTCTATGGAAGCCCATTGCCACTGAATTTATTGGTGGGTTTAAAGTCACTGAGATCAACAGAACTGGCAGTTAGGAAGAAAAGCTGTGTGCATGGTGGGGTCAGCTGGGATAAACTGGAATCATAAGGATAAATTGGACTTCCAGAAGATAATCTCTACCTACATTTGTCTCCCGCCACCCCCAACCTCAACATTACATGTGATATGCACATGGTGATATGCAGAAGGACTCTTCACAATGCAGCTTCCTATACCCTTGT